AATGCTTACAATTAAATTTTGATTCATCCACTGGTGGTTGCAATCCATGTACTTGTGAAATTCCCTATCTCACCCTTTCTTGCTAACTACCGTACCTGCACTGTGTGATGTTGCTAGCATGGGATAACCCTGCTTGCAGACTTTTAACCTGGCATTTTACCTTCTCACTACGGTGTCATTGTTGGCACACTCTGGTAGATTGTTTGTTCATTTTAGTGAAAAGTTCACAGCTGGAAAATACTCCTGAAAACATTGAATGTGTAACATGTCTGCCATATGTCCTGCCATCTGGTATGCTTAATTTCATATTATGGCAATGGCAATAATAGAGAACATTGCTAATAAGTTTTTTTTTTTCAGTTTGTGATTGGATTGTATGACATCAATGAAACCAAGTCAAAGGATATGATAAAACTGTTAAAAATGATATCCAAGAAATATGGACCAAGCTTTATAAGTCTGACTGGTGAGGTTGAAGTTGCTGAACCAATATTTTTTGGTACGTGAAATATAATGCTTGTTTTACTGAGCTGAAAATTGCCCATCTTCAATAGAACAGTGCTGTATTATTACTTTGTTTACTAATCAGCAAATGCCTTTGTTTTAAAGATTCAGTCCTATCTACTTGTATGTTTAGGTAATAATTATTTGTGTAATCAAGATTATTGTGACACTGCTAGCAATTTTCCTATTTCATTATTGCAATGGCTTAGTTTTGTGTTTTTTTTATTTTCATTTACTGATGAAAAGCACTGGAATAACAGTACAATTCTGTGAGCAGGTGTGTACTTTGATAAACCCATGGTTGCACCCAACGATTGAAATGTTTTGACCAACATACAGTATGCTGTAATTGAAAGGCAGCAGTATTTATGGGATTATTACATTCTAAATAACTTCCAAAATGTAAAAGCAGTTTTAAATTTTATCTAATAATATACACACTGCAAATTTAGTTTTAATTGTGAAGTAAATTATTCAGATGAATATTATTGTATCAAGACTAATCATTTTTTCTGTATTGTCCATGAAATAACAGCTGAAGGTACTGTCATAAATTTTCAGGTGGCGACAGGCTTACCGATGAAAGAGCACAAGAAGCCAAGAGAAATATGGATGATAGTAGTACTTCAATCAAACGACTTGATGGCATTATTCCAAAATGCGAAGATTTCCACGGGGAAATGACTTTCTTGAGATACATACATGTAACATTTATTAATCTAATATCAAGTAGGACATGCCAATGTGATCATCCCACAGGCAAATTTATGACAATGTGTGTCTGTAAATTTTTTTCCTCAAAATGTGACGAATTTGGAAAAATTCATGTTTTAAAGATGTATATTTAACCATGATAGAAAAACATAAGAATCATTTTACTAATCAATGATGCAACCGTTTGAAAACCACTTAAAAGGCCTAACAGAGTGTGGGGGAGAGTCACGTAGCAAAGCGTTAATAAGCTCTTTATAATTATTTATTTATTTATTTATTTATTTATTTATTTATTTATTTTGTTTTCTTGTAGGCTACACATAAACATACATACATGAAAGCAAGTGCAGTAGACGTGTGCACTGTTGTGTATTTGCGCAATCTGTTAAAATACACAAATGTAACAGATAAAGTAAAGCCAACAAGTGGTTTTACTACTTGGTCAATGATGCTCAAATATGTGTAATGCTGCTAAAGGAATTAAAAATGGATACCTTAGATACAGATATTGATTTTCCATCAAATGCTACTACTACAGAGGATAAGTTAGGTAATTAATGCAATATTTTTATTTCATAGTGTTTAAATTTATGGCTGACATCTTGACCATTCACAGATGTACTGTTTTTGCTATCAGATTATATATGGTGTTCACTGGGCATTATCCGCTTTGCTAATGGCCATACATGTATGACGTGTTTTACCATAACCATGAGTAAATGTCAAGAGTTAACATGTCATAATTTTAAAACTTTATTTAAGAGTTGTCAAGGAAAGTGTAGCCATTTTAAAGAATTCAATAAAAAGGTAAACACGCTTCAGACTGATTTCAGATTTCTAGCTTTGTTCAGAATACCAGGCATCATAATTTATGGTAGGGCAGTTTTATTCAGTTCTCAGTTTGTGTTTTGTTTAATTGTATAATTTTGTTTACCATACTTGCTTTATTAGAAGGATGTACATGCACCAGCTTAATTTGTTTTACTTATTGCACCATAATAAAAAAATGGTACTAATGTGCTTCTAATAGACAATGGTCTGTTCTCATTTTTGAATGGTATAAAGAAGTGTGTAACTGTATAGTAGATAAATACTTCCTGAAGAAAGAATATATATATTCCGATGTTCGTGAGCATTTGAAAGATGTTGAAGATAATGAAAATCGGTAAATACAGTTTGCAACCATATTTTCAAGCCTGTGAACTACTGTGGCGTGATGCTCATATCTCTTTAATTTAATGTATCAATGTGAATTTTTATTGCATGCATAGCTAAAAGTGCTGAACATTAAATACTTTTTTACTTCAAATTCAAACTGACAAACCATTATTACATTTTGCTATGTTTGACAGGTAAAAGTATCATCACTGTGAAAAATCGTATGTGAACTTGAGTGCAGTAGCACATGAAAAGGATATCCATAGTGTTGTGCCTGAAGTTACAAAATCAAGAGCAGCTACATCTAGTGTTGTCCAAGATGACATTTTTAATTACCAGATTTCCTCTATTTAGGTTAACTTTGCTACATCACAATTTGGACACTCCCATAGATGCTGGAGATGGAGAACGTTCTGTACGATCAAGTAAATACGAATTGGGAATTTATAATAGAACCCATAAGTTGAAGTATTTGATAGCTTGTATTCAATTACAGACCCTTTTGCAGGGTAAGATCAGTGAAGGTCAAGCTCATAGACTTGTATGGAATCGCACTGTCAATGTCCGTGGTGGGACTAATAACAATGAAGCCATTGACGGACATATAGAACTTATTAAAAGGGAGGTAAAAACGTTTTGCTAAGGTAATCAATCAAAGCAATCGTACATGAACCAAGCCCCTCTTTACAAAATTCAAATGTCTATGATTAGAAGTATCGATGTGCATATGGCTTTTCGTCATAGAATAGGAATCCACAAACTTACACAGAGAGATTTTCACCTTTTGAAAGTAGTTGAAGAGTTGCAGCAAAATATGGCTATTGAATTTATTCCCGGTAGGAAAATTAAATGTAAAAAACTAGCAACAGATATTCATTTAAGATATTTATAAAAATTCAGAGAAGAAGTTGCCGGAGATGTTACACAGACACAAAACTAAATTATTTGATTGCTATATATAGATATGTGGGGGCAAATAAGTCAGACTTTTGTATTGCAATCCATGTATATGTGAATTAGGAGTGTAAAAAATGTTTTTGTAGTTGATTTACTATGTTCAGAGAACCCTCTGCCTTAATTAAGATGCTAATTTAGTAAAACGTTCATGTCTGAATACCGTTTTGGTTGGAGAGATGACATTTAGCTTTCCGGCAATTAAGATTTAGTGTTTGACAGTACCGTATTTCCTCTCTTTTAGAAGCCCATACCCTTATGTAGTTTGACAAAAGTGTTAGTATGGTTCGAATACAATAATTTAATTGTAATGAATAAAACAAATTAACTGAAATCTGTAGGGCATACACAATTACTGAATACAGTAAGCAGCAATGTGATCATGTTTCAATTGTAACATGAGACACTGTTAAACTGTAATCTTAAATTGTTTGTTACTACAAGCTTCCTTGCAGTTCGAAAACATGGTGCACGGAATATTTGTCGATCAACTCTTGCACATGTTTTACACCCCTTATTAAAGCCATAGTGAATCTGCTACTGGCAAGAAAAGGATGCTTCAGGTAGTTTAGTCCAGAAAGATTACAATCGTGAATCATTCGTACTTTCAGCCCCACAGAATAGGTATTTGTGACCAGACATGATCTGCTTGGTAAGCAGCCAGTTTCTTTAGCCTTTGACAGCTGAAACTTTTAGAAATATATTTGTTGACCCATAAAATGGTAGTTTTGACACCAACATTATCATTCTATGAATAGTATGAGAAATTTAAAAGTATCACGATGGCCACTGATATATGAAAAAGGACACATCTTAAAGGGGAAAGTTTCTAATTGGATTTATTTTGGAGTAAATATGTTTGAGATTACAATGGAAGACAAATAAGCATCAAGTGCATGCAATCCCTGGGATTGAAATATTACCCTTTTTACAGAACAAATTTGGAGGTTTGTCATTTCATGTAATTATTACCATAGCTCTTCTAATATAGGGTATATGGCTGTATTAGTTAATATGGGCAGTTGAAGTTGTACAGGAATCTATTTTTTTTTTTCATTTTAAGAATTCATTCTGCTCATGAAAACATTTTGTGAATTAAACTGTCTAAATGTTTCAGCTATTCTGTACAAATGTTTGTTGCATCTACATACAATAAAATAAACTGGAATAACTCAGTAATTACTAGTAAATCATATTTTAATTCATAAATGTACTCCTGCAAAACTTGTCAAATAAGAAACCAGTTGACTTTCACAAATGTAAAAATGATAATGTTATTACTACTTTTAGTTGAAGAAAAATAAGAGAGGACTTCCCCATAGTAAATATGTAAACTTTGGATAGAAAATACAAATCACCGAAAAACAAACATTAAAATACCACCAAATATGACAGAACACCCCCCCCCCCACATGCTTTTTGTACCTAATTTGTAGAATTATCAGTCTTATAGTGAAATATTTTGACTGGATGCCAGATGATCCACTGTGCTAAAAATTCAAATGCCTTAATATTTGCACTATTATTAGAGCATTTATTTAGGTGAATAGCATTGGTATTTGAAGTCAAAATACAAGCAAGTACTTGGAATCTTTGGATTTAGTGCATTTTATCTGCTGATGCGCAACTAATAGAGCAAATATTGTAATTTGGGGATACAACCAGCAGTGTCAAACCCCTGTTTCAACTGATTCTGATGAATTGGAAATTTCAGCATCTGATTCATAGCTACGACTACTATCTGACACTTCGTCACTGTCACTCTCAGTGTCTGCATAGTAATATAAGAAATGCTTTTCAAAGTAGTTTGCCTCTGATTCACAGAGACCACATCTATCTGCACTTAATGTGTGATTTGGTTTCTTACTTTTAATGAGGCTACTTTCCTCATTTGATATAAATTCCTAAAATAAAACAGCCCTCCTACATTATTTTTTAGATATTTTTGTAACTTTGGACAACTATCTTTCAACATTAGCCCATTATAGAGCAATATTGCATGCAATGGTTTGTTACTTCTCCTTACACGTCCAGTTTCCTGAATGTAACTTTCAATGTCAAATGATAGCCTATAATGCACCACATGCTGTATTGATTTTACATCAATCCTCATCCCAAGTGCAGTGGTGCAGAAGATAATTCTTAACAAAGAATGTGACTGATGTAATTTCATCAAGATGTGATGCTTGAATGTCGCTATCTGTTTCACTGTGATATCTTCCAATATATTTTACTGCATCTGGGAATTCCTCTTTAAAATATTGATACAATTCCCCTGTAACATCTATTGAAGGGCAATAAACGAAAGTTCAACAACCAAACACATAGGATGGTAAAGGTGTACCAGCCTTTATGTCAACAGCCTTTCCTGCATTAAAACCATTTGTGGTCAATTTTGATATCTGAAAAAAAGTATTTTTTTAATATTATTGTTACTTTATTAAATTCTAACATACACTGATGTCAAATATACCAAAATATTAAATTTACCATTCCATAAATAACATACAAATTCATTTATTTGTATGTTTATTCAGAAAGACAGGGTTACATTAGTTACAGTTGGCTGCTGAACACACAATACATAACTATATCATGGAGATACGAAAACGTGCCCAATCTTGTCAAGGGACCCTTAAATTTAAACTTTGGACCTCAATTTTGTACGGGGTCGCATCCTAGACCCCCCAAATCTGGAGAGATGTGAAACTCTGAAAGATATGGAAACAAATGATTTTAAAACATTTTCTGGATACTGTACAAAAGATTGTTGCTACAAGCTACACATTTTGCTCAGGCAAGAGTGACTGCAGACTAATATACATCTAAAAAACATGGGAAGTGTAAAATTAGTACCTTGGGCTTCTATCAAAATAATAAAATACAGGTTTCCAATGAATATTCTTCAAAAAATGCAACTGCACATTCTATTGTGGACATGACATGTAATTACAGTAATTTAACAACTTACTTGATCTTTCATAAGAGAAACCAGAGGTGAAACAATAATGACAGATTCATTTTCAACCAAGAGTGGGTACATTTGGTAAATTAATGATGTTCCATACCCTGTAGGTAAAATGACAAGGACATCACTCTTTGCCAATAGATAATTTAACACTTTCTTCTGTTCAGATTTTAATGATTCAATGCCGAATCTTGAACATAACTGAAAATTGGAAAGCAATAATATATACAAGTTGAGCTTGTGATTGAGTCAAGGTTCTCTCTGTGCAGGTATTATGTGTTCGTTTACTGCTACTTCATTCACATGTAACCACTATTCAGTATACATCCCAATAAATTCTTTACGACTTATTAAATACAGAATAATGTCTTTGGTGTGACTCAAATGATTTATTGATTATGTAATTTTATTTTGAAAAAAATATATATGTATTTCAGCTAGTATGATAAAAAATAAAATAAAACAAGTCATTGTCAATGACACGTCCCCGTTCCGTTCATATTTGAGTGACATATACATTCAAAGCAGATCATGACCGAAATGCACCTGCATATGTACAACACATTGTACTAAATCTGAACAAAATCCATCCATGCATGACTGAGATCCGGTTCCGGAATTCCTAATTTTCGAGTTGGTAGTTTTCTACGGAATTCCGCTAGAGGGCGCATCCAAAATACCCGGATGACGAGCCTGAGTGGGGTTGTTTTTATTGAAGTTCTATATTCTTACATGCGTAAATCAATAGATTGGATAAGCAAAAAAGTTCCAGAACTCCGCAAATTTCTTCAGGATCGTAGTATAACTTGCAGCAATGTTCATAAAGCTAAACTTGTTGAACTTAAATGTTAAATGTTCGCCAAGAGTCAAACAATCGTCGTACTGTAAAACACGGTGAGTCGACGATAACTCTGGTAGATCTGTGTAACGTAAAATCTTGGCAAAAAAACCTTCATACTTTGCCTTTGTTTGAAATAGCTGATATGTTCGCATATTTGTTGCATCGAAGTGACTGGACTGAAAGAATATCGACTTGATAATGGTTAATTACTTCATCATTTTCGTAAAGCTTTATCATGTGCAGAATACAGAAGTTATTTTCATTATGGCAGAGTGTATTCGGCAATGGTCCATGAAGGAAAATCCTTACAAGCCATGGTTTATTATTAAATCAAACTCTAAAATAGTTTCTGGTGTAACTGTGTAGAGTAAGTTAGATTTAATATTTTATTCACCAGGCGATCAGCAGATGCAGTTACCATAAATGGACACACGATTTTTCCTTCCGTGGTTATTTTAACTTCAACTTCGCAACAAATGCCATCATAAGGATTCTGAACAAGAAAATCGATGTGGGAATCGGCAACGAGCGAATTTTCCATCAAATCCGGCTCAATGTTTTCGTTTGCGCTCGTCTCGGGAAGCTGACAGAGTCTTCGTTTTTCAATCGATGTATAACTGGGGTTGAAAGACGGCTGTCTCCAGTTATTGAACTAAAAAATACTGGCGCAAGATGGAAAATTCCGTGAACAAACCCGGGAATATAGCTTGGCGTCCACTCAGGTTCCCGACGACGCATTCGAATTCACTGGCGTTGAAGTATTGATTTCTTGGACGAAAGAAATGTATGAAAAGTTACGCCTTTCATCTCAGGATATTTCGCTGTTTTTTTGTTTTTTTTAATTTTGATTTTAATTTTGTTTTGAATTGAACCCCGGGTATGGCCTGGGGCATTACAATGCCAGTTAACCACTTTGACCAATTCTTGCAAAACGTTTGCAAAAAACAAGACTTCGGCAACAGTAACTACTAGTATATTGCTTACAGCAGACGCCGCTTAAATTTCAACCCCACCACGAACGTTGAACGGACTGTCATCCGGGTACTTTGAGAACGCCCTCTATCGAATTTCGTGCGACAAATAGTAACTCGGAAATTAGGAATTGTGAAAATACGTGATTTTGATTCATTTTCAGCCTTAAAATGGCCATCATTCAGCTATTGTTAAGCGGATCATGAAACAAATGCACATATCTATTTGTGTGTGAAGTTTGAACTTGATCAATCCAGACATGTTTTGGATACGGATCCAGAACTGAATTCTTTAAAACAAAATGGTCGCCAGTCGGCCATTTCGAACTTGATTCGAAAAAAATGACGTGCATCAAGGTCCTATTATGTTTAATGTATGTATCAAATTTGAACAAAATCCGTCGATGCATAACTGAGATCCGGATCCGGAATGGTGAAAATGTGCGATTTCAATGCATTTTCGGCCTTAAAGCAACCGCCATTTGGTTATCGTTAATGAGATCATGAAACAAATGCACATACATATTTGTGACATGATGTACCTTGTGTGTGTGAAGTTTGAACTCGATCAATCCAAGCATGTCTCAGATACGGATCCAGAACTGAATTCTTTAAAACAAAATGGCCGCCAGTCGGCCATTTCAAACCCGATCCAAAAGAAAAATGACGTGCATCAAGGTCCTATTATGTTTAATGTATGTACCAAATTTGAACGAAATCCGTCCATGCATAACTGAGATCTGGGTACGGAATGGTGAAAATGTGTGATTTTGATGCATTTTCGGCCTTAAAATGGCCGCTATTCGGCTATCGTTAATCGGATCATGATAAAAATGCATGTGCATATGTCCCATATAATGTGTGATGTATGAGTGGAGTTTGAACTTAATCGGTCCATGCATGTTCGAGATACAGGTGATCACGGACGCACGCACGCACGCACGCACGCACGCACACACACACGCACGCACGCACGCACACACGCACGCACACAACGCAAAACATAAGTCCCCGTTTTCGGACTACGTCCGAACGGGGACTAATAATGCACTCGTTTGTTTACAAGTTTCTATATTGGGCTGTAATTTTTCTAAAGTTTAAGTGCTGATCCCAAACAAGATTATCTTCACCGTGCTTTCTTCAGACTTCCGGTCATAAAATAAAGCAAACAACAAGGATGCATATTTCTATTTCGGTTCAGATGTATGTACGGCGGAATTACAAAAAATCACAAAATCAAAATCAAAGTAAAATAATGAAATAAAAAGGCATTAATAACAAAAGTAATAAAAAATAAAATAAAAATAAATTTATAGCCAAAATAATAAAAGCCCGAACACTACATCAGATTTTAATCAGATTGCCAACTTCAATACATCGACAGCAACATTAGTCATAAACCACAGCTACTACTACACAGTCGTGACTGAAACAGCACTCAAAGCATAAAAATATCTCTACAGTTCAGTGAAAACAAGCAACCAAATGTCTCTTTGAAAATACCACTGTACAAACTATCTGTCAGCACCACACCACGCTCTGCACCAGTACAGTCTCGATCAGCTACAAACTGTGTGCAACTCCTTATATGGCAATAGTCATAATGACGTCACAATATTCACTAATAGTAATAACGCATGCCACAAAACAACTCGTACAGAAAAATAACAAATCACAAGTTCAACAAAAGTCAGCAAATGTCAAACTTATGCACATCAAACTAAATCAGTGGAAACCAACAACCATGTTGTTGACATATTTTCCGTTCAACTTGTGTACAAAATTCGCGCGCTGGCGAATACAATTTTGGCGGCAGATAATCCACAAATCAAAAATGCGTCTGCACTCAAGATCCGACACGGACAATATCTCAGCACAACAACTTTGAAACAATAATTAATCCAGGGAAACCGAAACAGGAGCGGTTGGGAAATAACCAAGGGAGAGAGTGATTTCAAGCTCGCTAATAAAGAGGGGGGGCAAGGGTTATTTTCGTTCAACGTAATTGCAATATTTTTTTGTTCGTACTACGTAAATTGAAAAAATGAATTCCGTAATTCTGTAATCACAGGCTAGACGTACAACGTAATCGGTCAAATATTGTTTTCGTACACTGTAAAAATGTGTTATTTTTCTCGGTACGTACAAGGATTTACATCCAAATAAAAAAATCGTAAAGAATAATCCAGGGAAATTATATTATAGAAACTGTAAAACGACTAGATGATAAAATTCACTACAAAATTGAATGTCAAGACGTAAAAGGCCCTCTAACCGAATGAAGAGCATTACGAGGGTAATATGCGCATGCGTCTCTTCACACGGCGCAGCAATGGCGGAGAATTTGAGCCGGATAGTCTG